GGGTGGGCTTGGGGCAGTGAATTTTTCGGTTTACATTGGGAACAATTTAAGTCCCAAATGAGTTCTAGCGGTAAACAGCCCTTGTTCGAGTGAAAATAGAATTCTGCAACGCAACACTGAACAATGCAAATTCAACAAAAAATGGCTGATGGACACCACGTGATCCCACACAGGCGTTCAACATCACTTTCAGCATGATATTTATTTATAACAAATGGCAGGCGTTTTGATAGTTAGCATTAGTCCTTTAGTTGAATTCGGGATTCACAGAGGGGAGGGGGAACAGAAGACTAATTCACAAATGTAAAAGAAACAGGCAGACACAAAGGATCAGAAGGGGTTAGATGAGTGTTGTGAAGGGGTTGAATATGACATGCAGTGGGGGTGATGGTTGTTTGAAGTGAGAAGTCAACCGCCGGTTAATAGACTTTTTTGCCGTATGATTATACCGTTGCCCAGGGTGCACCACGTGGAGGTAATTCTATCGCACACCCCTCCAGCATGATATAGAACAGGGTGTAGAGGTGGAAAAGAGGATTTAACGTGAAATGCCGTTGAGTGATTGGGCTTTGTATCACGCTATATCCGGCACAAACTACTTTTAACTATAAATTGACCTTTATCTTTTTCACCCTGTTTATCTACTCATAGTCTGCTTTCACTCTATTTCAACTAAAATATACTGTTAAAAGGTCAAATTGAACCTGCCTTAATGAAAAGAATTTAATTTAGTACTGATTTTAACCTCGCTAAATTTTCATTCCTCTTTTCAGAAATCATGTCAACTTTTTTGTTTTTAATTTAAATGTCAGCTGTTTTGTTGATTAGCGAATTAAACGGCCTGCCGAGGGCAAATTCGAGGTGTCAAAAAGTTTTGGTTCATTGGCTTTTTGGATTCTGGTTGTTTTCTTTCGAAAATTCATAATTTCATTCCCTTTCTCCCGGATCATGACCTCGTTCATGGCTTTCAAATCGATGTATTGGCTGGACAAAGCTTTATTGCAAATGGAAAGCCAGCTTACAGCTTTACAATAGGACTGGAAATTACTTTTTTATTTTTGACATTCTCCTCAGGGCTGTACCCTATAATTTTCTAGTAAAGTGCCCCTAAGTCTAGGCCCTACAGTCGGTTATTTTTGTCGACTGATTAAATAGAAGCAATAGTATTGGCTTTGCCTTCACCTTTTTCTTCTCGTTTCTAGTGATGGATCCCAACCACGATCGATTTCAACTTCCGTGACCTGTCCTTTGATACCTGATGTATTTCGCGTTGCCAATAGCACTAATAACAGCGCTCCAGGTCAGTGTAGCCCCAATACCTCCCGAGCTGCTCAGTCTAACCAGATATCACCTTGTAAATTTGCTCCTAACAACAGTCTACCGCCTGAATCTCTCAATTTCCCGCCTATTATCGATGTACTTTGGGAAGAACCCGATGGAAGCAGTGAAGGTACACCTTATCTCCTCCTTGTATTTTGTGAATAGGGAAAGTTTACGCTTACACAGTTGGTCTTTCGTCCCCCCCCCCTCCCCCCAAACCACTGTTTTGCCTGCTAGAGAAACGATTGTAGGGTTGCATAAAAACACAAACTTTGCATTATAGGCTCACATTCAACACAACATTTCATTTGGCAGCTTCGTGAAAACAGAATGAGTAAGTTCTTAACAAAATGTATCATGCTAATATTTGTGATCGAATTGCTGCGGTTGCTACCGCTGCTGCTGCTGGTGTTTCGATAGAGGTATTGCTTTAATTATTTGAAACAACAATGAAAATGGGCTCTATTATTTGCGAAGCCCTCATAGAAGAATGTATATGAGACTGAAAGCTTTCAGTAGTAAATGTACCTCTTTTCCTCGAGGATTGTGTTCGTTTACTTCTCTTCCAGAATAGTTGAAATGTTATTTTTGGCAATGAAATTCGGAATAATTGATCTGGCATTCTAAAGCGAAGGGTTACTGCAAGAAGGGGTAAGATTTAAAGGAGCATGGTTAAACTAATTCCACATTCCTTGGTTTAGAGGGCTTAGACTCTGCAAGCCGTGTTCTACGATAAATGTTCTCGTTGTGTTTAGTGTGTGAAGTGGCGGACTCAGAGCAACTCAAATAAAGGAAAAAAGTTCAGGGTTAGAAAGAATCAAAATCGAAGCTTGACTTATTTACTGAATTGAGCCCGTTTCTCGGCGAGAAACTGTTTTGACGTAGAATTACTTCAAATTTCAGATCGATCCCATCAAAGTAGTTCCCTTGTATCGATCAATCTGGAAGCTCTCCCACCCCCACCTCCTCATATTTTGAACCCCTTCATCCAACGACCACCGACAACCACCACTTCTCAAACATCTACTTCCTCTGTCAGTTCTCCTCAATCATGTCATCACGCTCCTGGTGTTTCAACCTTCTGTAACTCCAGCTGTTGTCAAGTAAAGCAACAGCATCCAAATAATCAACCTCAACAACAGCAACTGAGGATATCTCCCACTCAGAATCAGCGAAAAGCCGAACCAGCAGAGAGTGTTTCTGAAAATCCCGAGAAATTTGAGATTCCTGTGACAAGATCTCAAAGCATACCAGCATCAGTGTTACCGGCTATCGAAGAAGCACAAAAAATCTATGATTCATTGCCGGATAATACACTTTTCTTGCCCTCAGAAAGCATCCGACTTCTGGATAGACTAGGTAATTTAAACGTTCCTCACCCCCCTCTCCCCTCCCCTCCCTCCCTCCCTCCCCAATCCTCCTCCTCCTCCTGTCAGCTCAGTTGAATTTTAAACTAACATGCGAATAGGGCAAATAATTACAAGAAATTGTAATTAGGATGTCCTACATTAAATATACATCTGCATTCATTTGAGACGATACCTTTGAGTTTTTAGGTCGGTAAGCGGTTGTTGTAAGTGGTTTATAGAGACGATGATTTGGCTTTTTTCGTTTTTGTGCCCACAGCAATAATTCACTCCTTTGCGGGAAAGCGGTACTGCAGTATAAAATTTTTTTGCCTTAACTGAGTAATAAGGTAAAGTGAAAGGTAAGATTTGGGAGGAGACGATTTTCACTGTCTTATACTTTTGCTGTATTTCCCTAAGAAGGACTATAAGTGACCAAGGTAAAGGTAGATACATGTGACAATAGGGAATTGGGCATTCAACGTCATTTGTTCAAGGGAGACGATCTTCATTTTGCCTCTTTATGGAGATTAACGAATTTATTTTTAAATCTCGATCTAATATGCTCTCTATGATTCACACTTCTTCCATTTAGTGATCCATCGAGTATGGCACTCTTGTTTCACTCTCTCCCCTCAATCGAAAGGCGTCAAATTAATATCCTTATTGGTTTATTAATTACATTACCGTCATGTTTCCGTCAATCTCTAGGGAGCTCGAACATTCTGGAATGTGCTTAGTGCTTCTGATCAAATCAGGATGGAAATCAGAATTTATCGCAGTATCGGCTCTCTTAATGACTAAGCACTATGCCCGTTTCCGGATCCATCACACATCATATTTATTATGACCTCAAAAAAACGGTTTCCACATCATACTCACCTTTTCCTCGTGGTGCTATCCGCCTCATGGTGAAATCCAGAATTGTTTTTTTCTAATAAAGTTCATAAATATAGCATCCAATTTTGTACTGAAATAACCAAATGCCTCTGACATCACACACACAAAAAAGAGATTTTAAGAATATTGTTTTTGTTGTTAATTTCTGCAATCCTTAAATTTACATTGCAGAGGGTATCGGTAAACCGAATCATATTTTGAGCAGTATTATCTTACTGCCGCAATCGGTTCGCTTTTTGTTTCCCTTAGAAATTCTTTGTTTTCTTATCAACTCAAATCGCTTGGGCTAGCAACGAAATTGCTGCCAAACAACCCGTCCTCCCCCCCCTCCCCCCTACCCCCCCTC